GGCTTCGCCACCCTCCGTTTATTTCAAACTCAGAACTAAAGCAGCAGTCGTCGTCGCACACATTTCAGTATTCGCGCCATCAAATGCCGTCAGGAGAGCACAGCTTTCGATCGCCCGTTGCCTTGCCACAGAAATAAGTTGAGAGGAATAAGTTATAATTGAGGAGGACTACTATCTAGTACCGCGCGCCGTATACTAATTGACGGGCCAGTTGAGTGCAAGAAGGGCCTGGACCAAGGGCTGGACCAAGCCTGCTGATTGTCAAGCTTTTGGCCGATCCGACATTACAAGTGTACACTGCGAGGCGGATGGCCTATTTCAGCCTGCGATCATCTCGAGTCACAGCGCCGCTGGTTCGAGCACGCTTATCATCCGCCCACCATCGCCTTCACCACCTCAACGCTCTCAAAATGGACGCCATGGACTCATACGTGCAGGAAGAGGCCGACAAGATCAAGGTGACCCGTCACCAGCAATACGACACCTCCGACGAACTGTCCCCGACGACCGTCCACCCGAACCCCCTCGACCAATTTCGCGCCTGGTTCAAGTCCATAAAAGATCAGGTCCATGAGCCCGAGGCGATGACACTGTCCACGGCGACCGCGTCCGGGATTCCCTCCTCCCGCACTGTGCTGTTCAAGCAGCTTGACACCCGCGGCTTCGTCTTCTACACGAACTACGAGTCGCGCAAGTCCCGCGAGCTCTCCGAGAACCCGAATGCGTCGCTGGTCTTCTACTGGCAGCAGGTGCACCGGCAGGTGCGCGTCCTCGGCAAGGCGGAAAAAGTGAGCAGGGAGGACAGCGAGGCGTACTACCGCAGCCGGCCGTTGGGCAGCCGGATTGGCGCTTGGGCGAGCAAGCAGAGCAGCGTCGTTGGCGAGGACGAGCTGCATCGCCAGTTCAAGGACGTGGAGGAGCGTTTCGGCGTGCATGAAGGAGATGAGGACAAGGACATCCCGATCCCTGATTTCTGGGGAGGCTGGAGAATCATCCCGACGTAAGTGTCAAAATAGTTTTTCGTCTTTTCCACACTAATGGAGTCGGTGCAGTGAGATAGAATTCTGGGCCGGCAAGCCGTCTCGCCTTCATGATAGAGTGCGATACCTTCGCATAGATGGCACTGAGGAGTCTCCGGAGTGGAAGATAGAGAGACTTTCTCCTTGATTTCCTTACCCCTGAAGACAAAGAATAATCGGTAGAAGTGCTTGTACAATACCCACAAAAACCGAATGTATCACCAGTCGCATCTCCCGTCATTCCAAGTCCTTTGCAATTGCTGAAGCTGACTGAAGAGCATTCTACTTCTAGGCTCACAATTCTAAGTTTACACGAACCAAGTCATTCTGCCGAGAGCCTTTCCTTTCTATATCGCCAATTCTCCCTTCGCCGCGCTCCAGCAGATCTTGGCCCGCTCTTCGAAGGCGCGCCTGGCACCCTCCTCGTCGCCTAGAACCCACTTCTGCATGGCATCCCCCTGCAGGCCTCGTCCGAACGAGAAAGTGAGCGGCGGCAGGCGCGTGAGAGCCGAGGGGGGCAGGGCGGTGTTCTTGACCTGGTTGATCTCGTGCAGGTATAGAGCGGCGTCGGAATCGGAGAGGCCGCCTAACAATCCGAGGTGAGCAGCCATTCCGTAGTGCATCCGATGATCAACATAGATGGACATACCAGAAAGGAACACAACGCCTGCAACCCCGATTGGAACGGTCCGCGCGAGGACAGTAGCGGTCGCCAACGCGATCTCTTTGGCACTCGTCGTCTGACGCGAGGGATGCTGCAGCCCGGGCTGAGCGAAAGACGGCTTGATCAAGGACCCTAGAAACACATCGCTTGAGCATTCATTCCTGTTGCGTTGACAGACCACCCTCACCTTCCAGCAGAACACCGTACGCGAGGCAACGGGCGTAGATCAAGCTAATGATCTTGACGTGCACCTCGACGCTCCGCTGCAAATCCGCGTCGCCAGAAAAGTCGACGTCGGGCTCCACGATGGGGACGAGCCCCGCCTGCTGGCTGATGGCCGCGAAGCGCGCGAGGCTTTCGGCCTGCACCTCCAGCGCTGGCTGCGTCGGGTACGTGGACGCGGTGCAGAGGATGGGGGCGCGCCACTTCGTGAAACGCGCGCCTGCGGCGCGGGCGGCTTGCAGACGTGGGAGAAGGTCGTCGAGTCCCTGGGTCGCAGGCTCGGCGGGCGAGACGGGCAGCGGGTGCGAGTCGGTGTCGGCGCGCACGCCCGGGATGATTCCGCGCGCACTCAAAAGCGGCGCGAGCTGGAAATCGATGAGGGTTTCCGAGTACAGGATGACACCCGAGATGTAGTCTGATGAAGCAACGGTGAGCATGCGAAGATGATGGTTCATGACGAAGCCATTCTCACCTGTGGGCAGAGTCTCGTAGAGGCTGGCCCTCCATTTCCGTCTCCTCTCGCGCTTCTCGTCCTCGGTATAGGATTTGTCCTTCCCTTCCGCACCAGCAGCTGCAACAAGCCTAGCTTCGATGCCAGCGGCGGTCTCGTCCGTGGCATAGATACCCTTTCCACGGGGGTTGACGAGAGCAGTCGCGTTAGCGATCAACTCCTGGGCGACGGAGGTGTCATGGTGGGGATAGAGATACGACGTCTCGACGTGACCATTTGCATTGGTCGAGAAGGTATAGCCCGGGGTAGCTGTAGCGTTGAGATCAGACATGATCACTTACGTTCCAATAGAGAAGTCGAGGATACGATGCAGGTGAGTATCGCGACAATCAACTCTGGCAGAGACAGGGCATCCTTTTATACGTTTCGAGCTGCAGTGTAACAGCTATATCAGGTGAACATCACCTTGGAACGTCACCGTTCTCATGACCATGGAGTCAACCGCCTGAAGTGGGAGAAGCTCGAGGTAAATTAGGTGACATGGAGTCTGTGGACTCACTGCGGCCTCTTCGTTTACCTCAGAACTGGATTTAGAGGTTCCCCTAGAACTCTCACCTCTATTCCGTCGTAAATTCCATCCACTCTATACCCCCACACCTACAAAATTCCATGTAGACTTGAATAGTGACTTGCCAAGGAAGTCGGTCAGATGGACAACGTTAGTAACAAGCGTTGCGCAAAACGGGGCTCCGAAAGAGATCAGAAGCCCTAAATTGTGGTTTCCGCCTCTCCGCTCCTTACACTGGTCTCTTCCTGCCGGCGGTCCAGAGGAGCTCAATGTTCCGCTATGCTTCCTCCAGACTGACAACCCGCATCACTGGCCAGAATGTGCGTTTCGCCTCGCAAAAGCAAGTTGGTGCAAGTCAAATGAAGCCCGCGATTTCGAGCAAGGCAGCGCCTGCCGTACAGCTTTCGCCGGACGACCCGCGCCCGCTGTGGGTGTATAGATTGACGATAGGCCTGAGATACCTGTTGATACCAAGTGCGTCCGCATCACAGTACCAAGCCAGCTGACCGCTCATCGGAATGCGTCTTCAGCCGCTCTGATTTACGGAGTGTTCTTTGCGGATTTCGGGGAGGATGATCACGTCTTCGTCCCGGTACGTCTTCCGTCGCGTTCGGCTCTCCGTTGCGGATCGTGTGTTTGATTCTTTACGTGTTTGCCCAAAGCCCCGACGATGGGTAGCTAGACAGAAAGCTGCATTCTTCCCCTCCACCTCAATTGAGCAGCCGTCGACCGAAGCTACAGTAGCTGAAACACCATCCTCTACGGCCGAGGCAGCTTGAACTTTGCATCCCAGCTTGCATAGCGAATGCACTCAGGAGTCTGCGGCATTGTTGCTGTCCAGAGAGCGTGGCAGTTATTGATGCTGAGGTCGCTCGGTAGCGTTAGTGTATTGAAGCGTCACATCATAGACCGACGCGACACAAAATACATATTCGCGAGCGATACGTAGAGCGCTTCGCTATACTGTAGACAATCTGCTATCATCTATAGAATGCTTTGAACCTCTGGTCTGGTGCACAATTGAAGTCAGTAAATCTGAGGTTTCGACCATCGATGACGAAAGTCCAAGGGCGCAGGGGACGCGCGCGAGATGCTGAGGAGTGGCTGAAAGGAGTTTGAATACGAACCTTGTCATGAAAAACTGTGCAGCTGAACAATGCATACGACAACCGCCCCCTCTACTAGCCACCCCCCATTATCGAATATACAGCAGACGAATGTACAGGCATCTAACCCGCCAGGTAGCTACTTGATGTTCTTGTGAGATTGTTTGAGCTGCGATAATGACTTTACGGCACCCTTTTTCTCTTTGCAGCCGATGCGGAGCATACTCTCAAAAGGGCCTACCT